CTTCCTGCCCCCTGCAATCCCATCAAAATGAAACAATAAAAGCTTTCTCACCAATTCACAAGTATCCCCCAAGGACAGCCTTAATAAGGGAACTGCAACATATGCAAGATGAGAAAGTCCTTAACATTCCATTCTCAATCAGCTTGATTATCTCAATATTACATCTCCTTAACAAAAGGTCCTGAAAAAGCCACTTTATCTAACAATCTAGGTACACAGACAAGGACCTGCCTACTACCCCCAAACTGATCCTTAGTACTTCCCACCTTGTAGCCTTCAACCTCGATAAAAAGCTTTGCTTTCCCATTATTGAAGGTTCCTCTTTCTTGTAAAACAACTATGCAACCATCATTCCAAGAAACAAACTTCTCCATAGTATTATGCTGTGAATGTCTGAATTTTCCATGACAACCAAGATTTAAATTGGACAACAAAAAAAACCAATTATATGATAGGAGGAACACAAAGATTTCCAGAAAAATAGCAACACTTAATATTTACATCTTACTGTTTTTTTAAAAAAACAAAAGGACATGTTTATTTTGATGTTTGAAACAGGTTTATATTCCTTCTTGGAGAAATTTTAGATTCACAACCAAAATAGGAACCACTATAATCACCCGTGTGTAAAGGATGCCATGTGGAACTATATCCCACATTGTAGCATTTTCTAGCAAGAAAAAGAACTAATGTGTCAAGCTTCCAACTTTGTTTGAAAGGGTCTCACCAGTATCAATTTTAATGAGTCAGAGATTTCCTGCCTTTCAGCATTCTTCGAAGGATCACTTCGATCCCCTTAGCTGAGCGGATACGTCGAATCCATCCATGTTTGTGCTTTCGCTTGATATTTGATGGCTGGTACTCATTGCCCCGGGCTCTTGGACGAATCTGCTGATAGTTCCAGGGCACAACTGGCTTAGGAATGCTTTGGAAAGCACTGGCAGACTCTGCTGACCGAAAGGAGTTAAGAATCTGTTGCCATGGGGTGGAAAAAGCAGACGAGATTCGACGCTGCCAAAAGAGAGAGGTCATACTTTGTGCACCAACAGCAGAAATCTGGGAAAGAGAAAAGAAGAAATAAAAAATAAATAAATATTGTAAAGGTCAATTTTTTATTCTGCTTTTCCTCTTACGCTCTGAATGGTACAAAGAATTCCTCTCTTGCTTGACAGCCCTACAAGGATGATTAGCATATGCTTTGCTTGGGTTATTGCATAAGGATTTTCTTATTCTAACCTTCCTTTGCTGATGCTTAAACTTGCCTATGAAAGCAACCCCATTGTCAGACATATGACCCCGAAGTTGTAAATAATTAATGGGGACAATTTAAATAAACATGATGCTGTTTGTTTGGGTCCTGGCCTATGTCCTCCTTCCTGCAAATTTTAAAATTGACAGCACAAGAATTTTAAAAAACAGCATAGAAGGAAAAGACCTCTGATTAAGTATGGATAGGAACAAAGGGTTTACTGGAATGTTTTTGGAAGAACTATTGAGTTATAAAATAGTGATCAACAATGTTGAGCCTTTGTCCACATGATCACAGGAGTATCCAACTTAACAGCGTTTCACTACTAATATAAAATGATGAAGAAAGGATCACGTTAATCCTTTGATGACTGACTGCCTGCCCGTAAAGCCACCTCGAGAATTTGAGTTATTTTTCTGAGAGCCAATTTGAAGCCTACTTACCTACGAACAAACAGGTGGCTACCAGAGTAGGGCCTCCTCAGTTGTGGCACCCTTCCCAAAGAAGGGGGAGTTCCTGTTGCCTGCATTTAGAAAGGTAGCAAATCAGGCAAGGCTTTATTACCTTAAGCTGGTATTATTCTATTCCTACCCTTAGCTATGATTGTAATGTATTTCTACTACTGCATTCAAGTTATGAAAACATTCATTTTAAATATTTTAAATTAAATATTAATGTTATTAAGGGCTATAGTGACACAGGGCCAAGGAATAGCTCTAACCAGAGAAAAAATTGAGCTCCCTGACTTTATGGTAAAACACAATTAATTTCATAAGTACTCTATCCAAGGAGGATATGTATACAGATAATCTTCAACTTACAACCACAAATGGGCCCAGAATTTTTGATATTAAGGTAGTTGTTAAGCAGTCATATCCAGTTTTATGACCTTTTTTACAATTACTGCAATTGTTAAGTGAATAACTTGGGTCATTAAGCAAATTTGGTTTTCCCCATTGACTTTGCTGGCCAGAAGCCTAGTGGAAAAGTTACAAATGGTGATCATGTGACCTGGGGATGTTGCAACCACTATAAATACATGCCAGTTGCCAAGCACCCAGATTTTGATCACACGACTGTGGGATGCTGTGACACTCAGAAGTGTGTGGACTAGTCTTAAGTCACTTTTTTCAGTGCGGTTTTAACTTTGAATGGTTCTAAGTTGAGGTCGTTTGTATGTGGCACACTACAAACTGCATCGTTGTTACTCTGACTGCCAATTAAATGCTTCAACCAGAGCACAGCATTTAAAGTTGCTAACAGATAACTTATTAGGACCCCATCAATAATCTATCTTATTTCATCCAAGATACAAAAACATGAACAGTAAAAAAAGACTGCCACCTCTATAGTTAAAGCCATTCAACTGAGAACTTCCTATCTAGATCAAATTGGGGTTAATTGTCAAGAGGATCTTACCTCATTATGTGAATATTTTTCATATTTCAACATGCTGTATTATTTTCCCTTATTTGATTTGATATGGTATTATAGACTAATCAATAAATCATAAACTGAACTACTAAGAGGAAGAATTTCTTAGTACTTCTCTGGAGAGACAAGAAAAGAAGACAAGGCAATTTACCTTTGTCTTGAGAATCTAAGGGTCTGGATTCACCAGGGGCTTTCCGGAGAAGCTCAAGAAGTAAACATTCTCTGAATGGAGAAATGTTGACGCACAACCTGTCCCACCCTCATCACACCACCTTCAGTACAGTAACATCACATTAATCAAAAGCAATAATGTACTTTCACAAAGGCTACCAACAGAGAAGCAGTCCCTGTACATGTTCAGAGGGCTTCTTACTGTTATCTAGACTAGTGTTTCTCAACCTTGGCAACTTAAATGCTGGTGGGGGAATTCTGCCAAGTTTGAAGACCCCTGAACTAGACTAAGCAACAACGTCTATGGAGATTCCCAGTCATCCAGGTCATGGTTGTCCAGAAGTGCTTTTGTTTCAACTGGACTTTGTTTTTTTCCTGGAAGGCGTTTCGCTTCTCATCCAAGAAGCTTTTTCAGCTCTGGCTCAGAACTGAAGAAGCTTCTTGGACGAGAAGCGAAACGTCTTCCAGAAAAAAACAAAGAAAGCCCAGTTGCCGTTTGAAAAAAAAGCATCTTTGGGGCTAAGCAACGATCTATTCCCGGGACTTTAAGGAGGCCGAGCAGAGAGAGGACTGGTGAGCATGCGCTCTGCCTCTTTATTCCCCGCCGCTCCCGGGCTTCGCGGGGCTGCCTTTCGAAGCGCAGGTTCACCACATCCCGCAGAAACGGGAGCGAAGCCGGGACTCTGAGTCTGCAGCAGCCGGTTTTCGCTCGCGTGAGGCGCCGAGTCGCTGCCTTCCTCCGCTTTAATACCTCCCTCCGCCCCCGTCCCGACCCGAACACCCGTACTTACTCTTTCTTGAAACTGAAGTCCTTGCGGTTCGTGATATGTCAAACGAAAAGGTTAAGCAGCAGGGGAGGCGATTCGCAGCGATATCTTCCGGGTCATGTCAGTTTTCCCTGCCGGATAGAATGGCAAAGCTCGTTTAGCTTGTAGTTGCGAACGCTAAGAGTCGAGGGAAGGAGCGGTAGCAGCTTCACCCTCTATCCCAGGGCGATTGCTGCCATCTAGTGGTTGTTCCTATTTTAGCAGCCTAAATCCGGTGGCCCAAATAGAGCCGGCTCAGCCGGCTGATGTCAAGAAGTTTATTTGAATAACCACGCCTTCTTGGTAGGCGCGTTTAACCAATGGTCTGTCTTCGCTGTCACCACGCCCCTCTGTCTAGAAAACAGCGAAAAGGGGGGGCGTTCCCCAGAATTCTTTGCGTGGGAATGTAGTTGTTTATCACCACTCTCTAATAGATCCTAGTAATTGCAATAGGATAAAATAAATATTGTATTTGTAAGAATTTAAGGCTTTCCTATTAATCAAAGTGTTATTAACATTCGATCAACGCAAACTTCAAATTGTATTCACCAATTTGTTTGAGTCAAATGTGTCAGTGCAGTATTTGATCGTCAGTTTCAAATACTGAAAACTCATTAGTATAAAAAATGCAATCATAATGCTCAATATGACAATCAATTTATTAATCATCACCGTTCTGTGAATATTTGAAAATGTTATGTGCAGTAAATATATACACCTCATTTCATATTATACATGAATATGTTTATGAACCATTTTCATTTAAAAGTCTTATAAGTTGTCTAAGGGGAGCAAAAAGATGCTTTGTTGATCTCATCGCATTTTTCTTTCTTCTACAGCAGTAGCCCTTACCTCTTGCACAATAATTTGTTCCATTCATCTAATGACGTGAACTTCATCCACTAAAGGTAACGTCATTGCCTACTTTTAAGGCAGTGGCACAAAATTCTTTAGGAGATTTTCTGCATAAAAGACCTGTATATATTTGACATCTATAAAAGCAACATTACTCATAGCCGCCACTCCAATCCGTAAAAAGCGTTGCCTTAAATTTAAAACACTTCAGAAGTGAAATTGAAAAACATTTTGCAAAAACCAAAAAGACTACATCCCCCCCGCATGCCTAGCGGCAAGTGATCCTTACGCAGTTTGTGGCTACGGTTCCCGGCCATAGCGATGATGGAGAGTTTGAAAAACGTACCAGAAGAGGGCGCCTATAGCATAAGCCAATCAAAAACAAGTTGTACACTACACTTCCCGTCGTACTTTGCAGCTGAAGCCTGCCGTCGCGCGGTTAGATGACGTTACACAGGGGCGTTTCTGCTCCATACTGGTTGAGGGGGCGTGTCCCAGGGGCTTCCGCCGCCACCGCCGCGGAGATTCCCAAGATGGCGGCACTGGCGGAGAGGGGGTACGCGCTGTCCTGCGGGCGCCTCGGCCGCGGCACACGAGTCTCTGTCTTCCACGTCAAGCTGACTGAATCGGCCCTGCGAGCCTTCGAGGCCTACCAGGGACGCAAGGTGGGTCTTCGAGCCGGGAGAGGGGCGGGGTAGCGACCCTCCCCTCTTATTAGGAGAAGTTGGTTTTGGGGGGGAAAGAGAGGAGTAGCCGCCTCCTCTTAATGCGAGCTCGGAAAGTGGTGGCTGGAAAATTGGGGGGCTCCTTTCCCTCACCAACCCAGCGTTTGAGAGGAAAGGAAGGTGGACTCCCCTTCTCCTTAATTTGGTGAGGGAGCAGGAAGAGGGACCCTCTCTCCTCAAAACTAGTCTTCGAAGAAAGATGTCCTCAACAAGAAACAAATGGCTCTTTTAAGGACAGAGCCCTTATTCCAAAATATAGGGGCATGCAGGAGTGTGGAATGCTGCTGATGAAATCTTTTCCCTGCCACAAAAAGAAAATAAACGACCTGGATTAGAAAGAAAGAAAGAAAAACACTACTTTTCTAGCAAATCTAGATGTAAGAAAATGTGAAAAGGGCAGGGTTTCTGCCCTCCCCCCAATCAAAAAATAAATACCATTCTGGGAAATGTCTTGCTTCAGCTCAGAGTAAAAACTGAGCAACCGACCATGGAAAAATATATACCAAGGAAATGTTTATGCCTTTCACTCGATGCTTCTCCTTTCTAACATCAAAGATGTAGCTTGGCAAAAATCTCTCTAGGTAAAGGCTAAAGTGCTACTGTAGAAGGTAATAATAAAAAAACAGTTTGTCGTACCTTTTAAATAGTCAATTAGAGAACTGATCGTTGATTGGAAATTAAACAACGAGTTGGGATGTTGAGTGCAAAATATAGGACTTGAATTTTCGGAATTGATTGAACTCTCTTAAAAGGGGGATCTTTTTTTTCTTTCAACAAGAAGGCTCTCTTAAAATGGATGCAGGACACATAAAGGTACAAATCTCCTTATTGCTATCTCCAAATGTGCCATAGAAGTTAGTGAAAAGGCTATTTTCATAAATATTTAAAGGAATGAAGTGATTGGCACATGGATTGATTTGGGGATCTGTTGAAATTAGACACTCCCTTGTTACACCCCCCCCCCAGCCAGCAAAAGCTCCCTAAAAGTGCTTAACTCTAATAAGATTTGAATAAACTAAATATGAGAAATATCTAAATAATTAGTCGGGTTTCGTTGGAATACCTTAGAAAGAAATATGCTTTAAAATGTGTTTAAAGAACAGTATTGATAACTTCTGGGAAGGAAAGTAGAATTTGAATTAGGGTATGTGGCTAAATTGTATAAATAGATTCCCAAATGTTAGAAAAAGTAAAGATTTTTAAAAATGCTCCTGGAAAGTCAGCTTTTAAAGGGAAATTTTGGTTTCTATTTTGTTTCTATTTTCCATTATTAGGTGTACATGAGGAGGACCTGAACAGGTTCCTCGACTTTCATGTTGTAGCATAAAGGGAGAATGAGCAATAACAATGAGCTCTCTCTCTCTCTGTGTGTGTGTGTGTGTGTAGAGATAATTGAAATAAAAATCCATGAGGATGGCAGCTTCCTTTTTCCTTGCTCAATTGTGCTGAGTTTGGGGGGTTGCCCAAGTCTTGGTCAAGGACTGCAGTGTGAAGAGCCTATCCTGTATAGCAGTGGACTCAAGTGCTTTGAGTATATGTGAGGATTGTAGCTTGTAAAGGGCTCTCTTTTCTCATTGGACACTGGCCATGGGAAACATTTCACCGATTTCCTGCTGCTGTTAGCAGTGTGAAAAGAACAATTGGGCCCTCCATAGTAAACTGATTGATTGGCTAATAGAGGGCAAGCATTGTGGCTGTTATATTTTTGAAAAAGGTGACAGATTTAAAAAGTTTATTTTAAAAAAAAAAGTTACATAAACACTTTGTGCCATTGGTAAGTCTTCCTTGGATGGCATTCCAAGGCATGCAGTGATGCCTAACTCATATTTTTAATCTTTAGATCAAGAGAGGAAGTTGAGATAATGCTAGTGATAGAAATATCCCCACCATCCATCTTTTTTTTTTTTACTTTTTTTCCAATCTGAAAACATAGAACTTCTGTATTTTGGCCTAAATTCTGCTATTAATCCGTAACTTAAATAGACCTATTTTGCAGCTTTGGGAAGATAATTAAATAGCCTCTTCCTGTCCTTCATATCCTCAGTCTCAAGTGAAAATTCTTGGTTCTGACTTATTCGCTTCCTCCCCCACTCCTTGTTTTACCATGAACATCAGTATGAATACACTTTAAAGGGATGCAGGGTTTTATTTTTTTTTATTAAGCTGGAAGACTGGAATCTGGCTAGGGTAAGGGCTGTTTCATTGTAAGTCACCGCTGCTGCTTACTGTCTTGTATTAAGTTGTGTGAACTCTGATGACGGAGATGCTGACTTAGATTTCTTGGGGGGGGCTGCCAAATGCTGTACTTTGGAAATGCTCCTTTGGAGGGAGTGTCGAAATACTCTGGTTGCCTAAGTGAACTCTTGGAAAGAGTTTAAGCCATACGGTTTTGAAAGAAAATATTGAACTCCTTTTTAAATAGTGATTTTTTAAAAAAAAAAAAACAAAAACAAATTGTGCCTGTTCTTTAAAATATAACAATTTTGCTTCCAGTTCTCCCCTCCATCCAAGTTGAGCTGCAGCAGCCAAGAGGCAAACCTGTTTATCATTGGCAACCTCAGCTTCCAGTAAAGGCAGTATGGGATTGTGTCATTCTTTATTTTTAAAGTGGGATGTTGGTTACCCGGTGGGCCTCAGGCGAGCTAAGAAGAGGGCTCCTGCTAATTACTAGCTGAATACTGATCACCTTATCATGGATTTCTTACTGCAATTACTTCCAAGGACATATTCATCAGTTGCAGAAAAAGTTGGAGAGAGAATGATATGAAATAGAGGAAGTGCTTGATGCTTTTCTCCAAAAAAGGGCTTTCTCACTTGTGGGATTTTTGTGGACACAATTGTGTAACTTGGGTGAGCATACAGAATAGGCAGATTATGTACATTTCCTGAAGAAGAGAGGAAGGGGGTTGGTGGTCTTTCACTATCATCATTCCCCAATTAAGGCAATAAATTACAGCTGTGGGATTTCTTGGCCTTATGATCATTTTGGGGCTGTAATCTTTAATTATTGCACAATGCTGTTGTTCCAATGATTGCAATAAAAATTAATCTTATGAAACTTCGGTCCAGTCCTACCAGCAATGCATCCTTTATAGAAAACTGGAGTTGGCCAGATCTGATTCTTAATTCTTCAATATAAATACTATCTGATAAAGCCTCCCTAGGTTTTCAAGTTGGGGCCTCTTCCAGGAATTAAACCAGGATTCTCTTATATGCAGAGCAGGTTCTTTATTATTAGCAGTGACTCCTGTCTGAATTGCCTTTCTTCTTTTTAATTTAACTGTTCAGTCTAAACCTGAATGTACCTCTTGCGTGTGTTGTTCACTGTAACACTCTTGCAGGTTTTACAAGAAGAGGCCATTGCTAGAGGTCCTTTCACAGCAATAGTTTGGAATGGTGCATTCTGTTGATGCAAGCTAAACTTGATTGCATCTGCTACACATCCTCTCCATGTCCTTTTTTCCTTGTTACCTTCTGGGAGGAGGCTTTGTGGTGTCGGAAGCAGAACACCCAGATTTAGTCACCGCTTTGTTCCATGTTCCACACAGTATCAACCTTGTGAACTCTCAGATTTCCTCTTTCTGCTATGTATTCAAAATGGACAGTGATTAATATGTATATATGTATATATAGGTATGTATATATGTATACATAGGTATGTATATAGCATGTGTGTGTGTGTGTGTGTGTGTGTGTGTGTGTGTGTGTGTGTAAAAGTTATCTTATCTATTTTCTGTTGACCCAAACTGGACCTGGCATGTGCAAAGTTGCTTTATTTGGCCATTGGAAACTTTTTTATTTGGCTTTGCGATCCTACTTTAGATCCCCGCTTGATTTTGAAACACAGTGGTTAAATTTCTTATGGCCTAACATTAGTTGATACATCAAATTCTCTGTTCGTTCATAGAAGCTCCAGATAATTCCTTTGGCCTGTGTTTCCTGCAAAAGATAATAGGGCGTTATGTATGAAAGAGAAAGAGCATGTATACTCATGAAGTGTTTAGTGCTGGAAAGAGCATCAAAACCCATCCATCACCATTTTTAAATTCAGATTCCTACAATAAGCATCATTAGAAGTTGTGGCTTAAATGCCCTTTCCAGTGCTATGATGCAAAGTTTTAAAATATACTAATCCTGTTCAGTGTTTATCTCATCTCACAGTAACTGACCAATAGGGGAAAAAAATCAAGAGCAACCTGATAAAGATGGGTGATTTTCATCGATGAACAGAACTTGTCACCTCTGCATTGCCACGTAAAGAGAGTTTGACTGTTTGGCCTGCTGGGGTTGTAGAAATTAGGCTGTGTCTTTATGTGGGCTTGCTACACATTAATGCACACAGTATTACAAACATAATTCGCCATCAGGATTAAGCACCCTGTACAAGTGACGCCAGCTGAGCAATCTATTTGTGATTTGCAAATTGATTACAGATAGATAGTATAATGGTTTGTTCAAAATGGCAGTACCTGGGCCTTCGTGGGGAAGGTCTCTGAAGTCAGTGGGACATGATGAATGGTTGCACACTTGCAGTTTTCTGATAAGAATAAATAGATACTTTTCAAGAGCTGTCTGATGGATAATCCTGAGTGCCTAGAAGTTTGATTCAGTGGCCAAAGATTTGAAAAATGTTATATGTCTCTGTGCACTTTGTCCTTGCAGAATGCTGAGGGTGGCACCTATGAATGTGAAACATCCTTTTGTCCAGCCCCACCCTATATTTAAGTCTTCTCTGACAGGTCTCTATCCTCTCTCCTTCTGGGGAAGGCAGTTCTGCCACACACAAAACAGCTGGGTGGATTTGTCTTGTTTGCATTGAGGTGCCTCTCCCCCTCCTCTTGCTCACGCACATCAAGTGCTCATGCACATCAAGACCTGTGGTAATTGAAGTAGTTGTGACATCCTATGAGTAGTCAGATTGGCAAGGAAGTGCCTCCTTG